ATTGACTGCAAAAGAAATGTCTGGCCTTGTATGACAGACATACTGCAGTGCCCCTACTACACTTCTATACTGATGAGGTTTACTTAACACTTCCCCATCGTTTTTACTAAGTTTCATTGTTGTAGCCATGGGAGTAGAGGCTGAGTTTACATTTAACATTTGATTCTTTTGTAGCAGTTCGGTGACAAACTTCTTCTGGCTGAGGAACAAGCCATTGTTTGACCGATATACTTCGATACCAAAGAATTACTTAAGCTATCCAAGATCCTTCAAGGAGAATTTCTCATGTAGTGCGTGAACAATTTGATTGATTTCAAGTTGAGAACTTCCAATAATAAGGATATCATCCATATATATACCACCATGTATACAACTTCACAATCCACTTGTCTAAAAAACAGTGATGAATCTGCTCTCGAGGGCTTGAACTTTAAGCTAAGTAAGAATTCTCTTTGCTTGAGAAACCAATTTCTTGGAGCTTGTCTCAGGCCATACGATGCCTTCTTCAGTTTGCATACTAAAATAGTTCCATCACTAGACTGCTCCTCAAAACCAAGAACCTGTTGCATATACACATCCTCGATTAGATCCCCTTTTAGAAAGACATTGTTTACATCCACCTGCCTAATTTGCCAGTGGCATGAAACAGCCAGTGACATCAATATGTTGATTGTGAAGAAACGAACCATAGGACTGAAAGTGTCCATAAAATCATAGCCAGGTATTTGGGAATACCCCTTGGCAACCAGTCTAGCCTTCAGCCTTTCTATGGATGGAGCCATCAACATTCTTCTTCACATTGAAGAGCCATTTGCAGCCAATGGCTTTCCTACCAGCTGGTAACTCCACAATGTCCCACGTGTCATTGCTAAGTAGTGCATTGTATTCAACCATAACAACTGTCCTCCAGTCATCATCTCTGAGGGCATCTCGAATATCACCAAGCACTTCCTTACATTGAGTTGAATAGATTTTCGGTTTAAAAATCTCATGTTTACTTCGAGTTGTCATAGCATGAGTGTTAGTCATTCTAACAACTGGAATGTTTTCTTGATTCTGAGTTTGTTCACTAGAGGCAGCTTGCTCATGCTGAGAAGATGCAACTTGATCATGTTGAGAAGAAGCATATGCAGCAGACTCAAGAGCAAGAGAGCTCGATTCGTTGTTTACTGATTGTTCTTCAGTGTGTACATGCAGTCCATCACCTGCAGTTGCATAATGATTTGTACTGCTAGTTTCAACCGTTTGATCAGTACCAAGTCCAGCATTAATACTTGAGCCTGGGGCAGTCCTGGCAGTTCTGGCTTGCTCGTGTGGACCGAGAACAACTGGAATGACCCTCGATCGAACTGCTTCATTACTACTTCTTCTGCAGGTTGCTGCCTTGTGTGCAAAAGGAAAGATATTTCCATTGAAACACCACACTCCTGGAAACATAAATTCTGTCATGATCATCCATGCATTGATAACCCTGATGTATAGGAGATTACCCTAGAAAGACACAAGCCTTGGATCGAAAGTCCAACTTGTGAGTATTGAACATCCTGAGATTAGGAAAGCACTGGCATCCAAAAATTTAGAAAAATCTATAATCAGGGGGCTTATTATATAGCTTCTGATAAGGAGACACATTACTAAGGTTCTTGGAGGGCATCCTGTTGATGAGATCACAACACTAAGAACTGCATGAGACCATAAAGTTAGGGGTATTGAAGCTTTTGCTAGCAGAGTCAAGGCAGTTTCAACTATGTGCCTATGTTTTCTTTCCACTACCCCATTTTGTTGTGAGGTATGTGGGCATGATTTCCTGAGTTTAACACCTAGTTTGCATGAGACAACTTCTAGAAATCGAAACTCTCCTCCATTGTCTGTTTGTAAAGCAAGAATTGTAGTTTTGAACTGATTAGAAACCAAGGCTGAAAACACTTCAAAAGACACATCAACTTCACTTTTATTTCATAGCAAATAGACCCAGCTGTTTCTTGAGTACAAATCTGCAAAACTCACAAAATATTTGAAACCACTAGAAACAATAGGGGCATGACCCCATACATCAACTAACTCGAAAGGCTACTTATATACACAGTTTGTGACATAGGAAAAGGTTGAGTTTTGCTTTTTTCCATCTGACAGGCTGTACAAACCTCACTTTTGTCTACACTGAGTCTCTTATTGAGGGTTGTCATTACCACCTCAGGTGCTGGATGACCGAGCCTCTTGTGCCATAACCAGTACTCATTAGTATTGCTAACAACAATGTTATTGAGTGTTGCTCCTCCTTGCATAGTCTGACAATCAAAACTGTACAATCCTCCATCAAGTTTTCCTTGTATCAGCATGACTCCTGTGCATTCATCCTTAACATAACAAGCATTTTTGTGAAATTCAAAGAAAACGGAATTGTCTTGTGTGAATTTCGAAACTGATAAGAGATTTTTGTTAATATTTGGGACATGCAATATTTGATCAAACAAGAGATCCTTAGAGACAGTTTTTAAAGCATTCCTACCAATATGAAGGATTGGAATAGAAGAACCATCACCTAGATGAACCTTACCACTGCCAATGTATGCTTGCTTGCTCGAGAATGTAGAGGTGGTGCCAGTCACATAGTGTGTGGCTCCTGAATCAGGAAACCATTTAGCATGATTCAAAGGACCATTAGCCATTAACGCATTGACTTGCACATTATCACTTGGTTCAACAGCAGATGCGTCTTTACCTCCAGCACTGCCACTTACAAAGGGACTGTAATGGTAGTCAGGTGTATGTGAAAAACATGAAAACGTATTTGCCTGCATGCCATTAGATAAGGAGTTTTGTTGAGCGGTTACTCCTTTGAAATTTTGATCAAACCTATGTCAGCACCTGTCAACTAGATGGCCTAGCTTCCCACATAATTGACACTGCTGCTTAGGTCTTCCTTTATATTTGTTGCTCGTGGTGCTGTTGGGTTTAGAAGTCGCACAACTCTTGTACTGTTGTGTATCAGAAACCTGATTGGTGTTGTGGCGTGTGAAATTAACACCTATTGGGAACCTTGATGATTTATCAAGACGAGATTCAACATCAATAAGAATAGAAACTACATTATCAAGGGCAAATGGATCTCTGCTTGAAGTGATCGTAGCCACCGTTGGCTCGTATTCGACTGGCAGTCCATTAAGAATGGTGGCAATGTGATCGATGTCTGAGATAGGGTTACCACACGTGGCCAATAGATCGCATATTTCATTAATGGCCATGGTGTAATCTCTCATAGAATGAGAGCCTTTCTTCATCGATCTAAGACGACAATGCAGAGCCATTATCTTTGTGGTAGATAGTTTGGAATATAACCTGGTGATGGCATTCCAAACTGCAGCAGTGGATTCGACACCAACCAATTGAGGCAGAATGTTGGTGCTAACAGTGGAAAGAAGCCAAGAGGCCAAAGAACTGTCTTGCTTGACATACCGAAGGTAAGCTGGATTAACAGTCTGTTCTCCAACCTCGTTGAGTATCAGCTTTGCTGGAACCACCATGGATTCTTCAAGAAAGCTTTCAAGACCGAGCCCTCTGACTGTGAGAATCACTTGTTGCTTCCAAAGAAGGTAGTTCGAGTCGGTTAAGCATACATTGATTATTTTATTAGCGAAGGTATGCGAGCTGGCTTCTGTCAGCTGTTCATCCTCTACCATCATTGTAATGCCTTGAACCATGACTGTTCTTTGAAGACAAACAAGAACCAGAAAGCACGAGCGAAGAAAGAATGGCACACAACGAAGCTTTTTTTTTTTTCAGGATCTAATGGCGAATGATACCATGTTAACTATGACATGAAGCTTAAGAAAATGAACAAGAAAGAAATGCAAAAAACGTGGTATTGCATTCATGTGTTTTTTACAAAGATGAGCAACTATTTAAAGCTGAAAGTGAACTGTTGCATGATCGGTTGTAACAATCCTACAACCGACTACCAGCCTAACCGTATATGGTTTAACAGGCATAACCGAATATGGTTTAACAAAAATTCCTTCTAAAATGCCTCCTGAATTAGACCATACAGTCGAATTAAAAATGCCTCCAAAATTATATCAAACTGTCAAAGAGAATGGAGAAGAAATACTAAAATTGTCGAATGAGTATTTGCTGCACCTCAGACTGAGTCTCCAGTAAGGAAACAAACCATGCTATGCACTTGGGAGTTCGAAAAGCCACTAGTGAATGTGAAACCTTATAGATTTCCACATTTTCAAAAGGTCAGACAAAACATATGCTGAAAGGACAATTGATTCGGAGGAGTAACAATCCTTTTTCCTTATCGATTTTGCTAGTAAAGGGAAAAGATGACACATGAAGGTTCTACTAGACTACCGAGGCCATTACTGTCAAAGATAGGTTTCTTATTCATACAACAGATGAACTATTTGATGAGCTTGTAGCATCTCCATGTTTTTTTAAACTTGATCTCTTAAAAGGGTGCCATCATATCAGAGTCCGATCTGTAGATGTACCAAAGACAACCTTCCACACCCATGAATGAGGGGCATTACAAATTCCTCGTCGGGTTGAGAAATGCCAACGAAATTTTTTGGCCATTTCTAAAGAAATGTATACTGATCTTTCTGGACGACATCTATCTGAGGCACTATGTGAGTGCCAACCAACGGGACTGGCCAAAATTATTGGATGTGGCCCAATTTTCATGCAACTTGCAACGGAGTGAGACGACAAACTAAAGTTCGTTTAAGATCGTAATCGGGCAACAACCGTTAACACCCAATACGGTTGTTACCAAGTATGAGGGGCCCAATCCATCAGCACACAACGTTGCTAAGAAGTGGCACGAGCAACATGACTTAGCCCGAGCTTATTTGCACAAGGCGGGAAAGCGAACAAAGAAGTGGGCCATATATGGTATAAACATTATCCTCTTGAAATTTTATTTAATCTTAAATTAATTAATTTGAGCTTCTCATGAAAGTTCAGCTAACGAAAAACATAATGAAAACAAATAACATTACATATAAGCCACTACTCAACTTTCTTCTCGTGCTCAACCTTCTTCTCCTGCTCCTGTTTCACTAATTTACTCGGTATCTTTCGACACTTTCTCATCAAACATCTCAAAATCTTCTCATTCGACCCTTCACCCTTTCTCCATGTCTCTTTATGTGGTCCCCATACTTCATATATATCAGAGGCACCGTCATCAACACCGTTATACCTATAAAAAACCCCCCACAATAAAATAACATGAACGTAATAACAACAGAGGAAAACACAGATCAAAACACAAGTATCTTTTTGTTCTTACCAATGTAAACGAGTGTGAGGAAATCAAAGAAGGTTCCAACATATGAAAGCAACAGAAGCCCAGCCAGTGTTCTTGCAAAAACAAACCAGTTCTCTTCAACAGTCACACGAAACATCCATCTCAAAACATCTTCCATAACCGTTCGAGATGTTTGTAATCTCCACGGTTGTCTGTTCCGATAACTCCAAATTGGACACTTTGGTGGTTCTCTAAAAACCAAACGAACAACGATTCAATTCAATGTTTCCTTTTCGATGTAGTTTGAAGGGGAAATTTGAACTACTTACTTGCCGAGAAGCTCAGAATGTTTCCCCAAAGGAAAACCGAAGCGAGGATGAAGATGGTCAGCCATGAAACGACAGTGATGAAGTTGAACTGATAAACTTCGAATACCCATGTCGCTGTTGAAACGAGAAGAAGTGTTGCGCTCACCTTCTTTCTCCTCCATAGGATTATATCTCTGAAAGTATCTGAAACAAAAAATAAAGATATAATTAATATATGAATAAGAAAAGCTTGGGTTGATCCATCTTGCAGGTATAGTTGAGATTACCTAATGCAGGCGATGAAGATCGTGGTGTGACGGTAGACATGGTTGTGATTCTGAAACTAAGAAAGCTGGAAACTTTGTTCTCTAGGACCTTTTCTTTGCTCTTAAAGTGATGAAAAATGGCTACTCGTGATAAGAAAGTGAAGAAGGAAGCAGCACTTGTTTGGTTACACGTGCAGAAATATCAAGAACAACGTGGAAGGGCAACAGTCGGTGAAAGCTTTGGATTACCTAAATTCTTATTCTAATCAGTTCTATTCGGTTGTCGTCTATTTAAATTTTTTCTGATGACAACAAACTGCAGCACCGTTTTCCTATTTCTAAAAACAGAATAAAATATGATATACAGATACAAGTTGGATCACGATTTTATTAATGAAGAATGCGATCAGTATATAGGTATAACTTGAGATAAAAAGTGAAATATTAAAAAAAAATTAAAGATTAATTTAGAAATAAAGTCATAATTTAGGGATGAGATTAAAATATTTAAAATTTTAAAAATAAATTTAAAATGAGAATTATACTTTAGAACATATGATACAACTCAAAAAATAAAGTGAATACTGGTAATTTTGTAATACTTGGTAAGTGTTATATCAAAGAATTTATTTTTCTGAGATGAACGATCTATTATTCCAACAGGAAACCCTGCAACACAACTACAACAGCAAAAACCTGTAAACAAACCACTATAAATCTAATCCAATCGTCAAGCTATACAAAAATCCCTATTAACAGGACTCCCTGTCAACCTGCTTACCCCACAATCTCAATCTTAGCATTTCCTTGACCCGATCAACCATCCCAGAGACAAAAGTCAGATTTCCAGCAAACAGCATGTGATTCCTTGCTTTCCAACCACATTAATATAACTATTCCACGCCAACTTCAACACCCAAGAACGGATCGACTTGCCCTTAAAACTATATGCCCAAGCCAATTCACTATTCCAGTCCATAACCGGTATGTTAACCAGACAAAGACAATATTTCATGCCAAACAGAACGAGAAACCTCTCAATCGAAAAACAAATGGTCTCTAGTCTCACTATCCCTCAAAAATAAACCACACTCCCCATCAACAGCAAGGCCAAAGGAGAGCCTACTCCTAGTAGGCAACGATCCAAACAACCATCCAAGAGATCAAAGAATTTTTTGGGATATGCCCCGAGTGCCATACAAGACGTTCCCAAGGAACCTTCTTCTTACTACGAATCTCCTTCCAAATCATGGAAACCGAGGCAAAGTCAAGAAACCCTGCACAGTTGCTGTTTTATTTCGGAGGTGTAACAAGTGCGCCTGGTCCAGCTATACTGCTGAGGGTATGTGATACTCTAAAAAGATTGTCCTTAATAATGTAGGAGTGAACCCAAGCCACCCAAATCGACCCATCCTTCAGCAACACCTTCCTAATAAGCAACATGAAAAAGAACATATCATGATCATTAATATGAATAAAAAAATAGACCATCAACTAGAAACATACGAACCTCCGAACAAAGTAAATCTAGCTAAATTATGAGCTGCTTGATTATCCCAACCTAATTTATTGCACGTTGAAAATGAAAACTAGAAGATTCAAAGCCACGACACAATTTCTTTATTACTTTGACTATCAATCTTCAAATTTTTTCAATGTTATATAATTATTTAAATACATTCAATTACTTGGTGTTAATACTTAATGGAAGAACTGATATAATAGTTAATAAAATTAGTATAATATACATTTGATCTTTAATAATTATATAGTCTATCGATTAGTCAAGATTTTAATTTAATTCAATAAATTTAATTATTTAATCAGATAGTTACAGTATCACAAATTGAATTAAGGTTATTTTTATTTAATATTTAATTTAATAAATTTTACAGCGATTACAATCACTTCTAATTACATTTAAACTATGCAATCCATAATATAATTAAAACATAAATAACTGTATACTTATTTTTTTTGTAAAATTAAAATTATTAATTAAATTGAAAATATCAATTTTTAGATTATATTTATAATCATCAAATTATAAATAAAATATGGAGTATTAAATTTAATTTATTATACAATTCAATAAAAAATTAATTAAAATATAATGATCATATACTTTATTTTTTAATAAAAAGTGAATTATTAATTAAATTAAAAAGTATCAATTTTAGATTATATCAATAATCATTAATTATAAATGTAAAAATATATTAAATTTAATTTGAAATATACAAAACTTAAATTTATTTTTTCTTTAATCTTGTATAAACTATTGTTTTTCATCCAATCAAATGGTAACATTTTCATTATCTTATTGAAATAAAAAATAATTTAATTAGTTTCTATTTTAACAATTTAACTATTATTTCTTTAAGATTATATCTAACATATGTTTAGTCACCAATTATTTAAAAAATTACAATGATATTGACGTGTTATCATAAGATAATATTACGCTAATATTAAAAAATAATTAAAAAGAATCACTTTGGTGGTGTGGCGACTATCAAGCACGATTTGAAGCCACAAAAGATGCCCTAGGTCACGCACAATGGCCACAAAACTCACAAAGGCAGCGGACACGTTGATTACCATTAGATATTAGCTTGAGCGAACCAGAAGCTGGCCTCACCATGAGCAGAAGAAATAGGGCTTCTATTAACGTTGCATGGCAGTAAACTGGCAGCGGTAAATTCAACAGCAAAAACCGCGCACCAACTCAAATTCTGACTCAAATCTGGGCTTCATAGTTCATTGGCTTCGTAACCCGGTTATGAACATGCCAAACTCGTAACCGCGGTAATTACAGTTGCGCTTTTCGTGGTTATAAAAATATTACGGTTTTATGTTATGAAGGCACGTATTATACAGACTCAGTTATTAGAACCCAATATATCTAAAGAGAACAATATTCTTCTTATCACTAAAGAAAGAAGATACGTGTATTTCTTTTTTCTTTTTTTAATTTTCATTTAGACTTTTTCGTGAAATCTTCAATCCTAAAGTTGATTCTAAAGCTGCAGATCTTCAACCCAAAACTTGCTGAGCTTTATGGTTAACAGATCCCCTGCCAATTTACATGGCTCCTTTTGCCGAATCTAATTCAAAATAGATTGCATAGTTGAGATACCTTCTTTTCAATCAATCTTTCGTTTTAATTTCAAGAGAGAAAAAAGTCAAAAAGAGAAAAAAGAAAGATATAATCAATGGCGAAATTGCAGGAAGCAATGAATCGTGTTAGGAAAAAAGAAAAAGTTTAAAGGCCAAGTAATTATTATCATAACGAAGACGTGAAATGCGCCGAGCATCACTTAATTGCAACTACCAGTTGCTTTATCACCCACATAACAAGGCAAGAATACATTCAATCCAAAATTTAGAATTATCACACATAATTTACTTAAAATAAAAATTAAAAGACGATTGTACGAGGAGCATGACAAATATTATAACGAGCTATCATGCTTATTACATTATGAAAAAATACATCCCTTGTACAATTGTCAAACTGGAAATTCATCTTACAATGATCGCATGATTCGAGAATGTCGTCAATTCTACCGGGACATTCATGTAATGCGTGAATAACTACTAGAATGATTCGAGAAGACGCTTAAAGAGTTAAAATAGAAAATCTCACTACCAAGACTACATAGCCAACATCAAAGAAGGAAATGTGAACTCAGACATACGATGGATGATATAGTTATGGTCATATAAATTAATTTGACAGAGACTATCAATTTATCTTTAAAGTAGATTGGTCATTTATCAATAATTGTCAACGTAAAAAAACATATTAACATATTAACGTATGAGTAAACTATTATACACCTAGCAAATAAGCCATTGTTTAGATGGAAACAAGTACATTATTGACCTTAATTTAAGATTGACTTAGCAAAATTAATAGCACCTCAAACTCGATGTTAATTTAATTTTTTTCAGGTACTAATTAAAATTTTCATGTTACATAGATGACGCGAATTACATAAAGTATTTCATCACTCGTTTGAGATAATCTGGAATACAAGTATAGTGATTGTCGCTTCTTTCAAATATTCTGTCTCCCGATTATAGTTGCACTTCATATATCAACATCGGTTACATGATATACACGGATGATGTATTCTATCTTTATGCCTTCAAGGTATATGAATATGAGTTCCCTCAAATCAAAATTAAAAGAGAATAATTAACATACAATTATATCGGATCTTTCATTATAAAGAGAATCTCCATGTTCTTTAAATAATTCATATTGATATAAATATTAGAGGGGAAAATCACATAATATAAACAATATAGATATAATAAAACCCCGAATTTTATGATAAAATATCCCTTTCTTAATATCTCGTAACCCTAAAATCATAAATCGATAATCTAAATTGAAAATTAAAAGTGATAAAATCAAGAGATACACGTTTTATAGACGTGTTTCTTCTTTTCTCACAATTATGCTGAAGGCTCGTTTTTTTTTGAAAGACATACCTTCGCCATAAGTGATGCACACTTTTTGTGGGTGTTACAATAAATTAAAAAAATGAATAATAAAGCCCTGTAACGGGATTAATTCTAGATTTTATAATTCAAAAAGAGGTTATATATACGTTAGAAAAAAGATTTTCCCTTACTTTTCTAATAAAGCACTGGACCAGTATGTCTTGCAGCTTTCTGCTTTGGTTCTTATAAGAAAATTCTAATCTTTAGATTGTGACTTCAGGAATCGTCAACTTTCCAAGGATTCTGAAATTGGGTAAGTTTATCTTCAAGATGCTGAAATGGTGATATTCTGATAGCCCAATTACGCGTATTGTTTTGTAGTTTACTATTGAACAATTCTTGGTTCAATTCAATGACCCTTATTTTTATTACACTTGGACTGTTACTTATGGCACTCGTTCTGTTCTTGGAATTCCCAGCAGTTTGGTATAATATGAATTCACTTTTTGTTGAAAGTAATGTGCTTTGGTGGGGAGATTTGATCTGGGTTTACTGAAAAAGTAGTATTTTTGTTGTTTTTTGGAAGGTTATCCTTATCAATGATCAGTTTCCAGGACCAAAACTTGAAGCTGTGACTAATAACAACATTTGAACCTCATTAACAAGCTGGACCAGCCTTTCTTGTTGACATGGTGAGTCTACTGATTTTCTCATACTCGGATTGGAGTGTGAGTATCGGACACTCAAATGATAATGATTAACAGGAATGGCATCAAGCAAAGGAGAACTCATGGCAAGATGGGTGTTGGGAACCAATTGCCCTATCCCTCCAAACTCAACTACACCTACAAGTTCCAGGCCAAGGATCAAATTGGTTCTTACAATATTTTCCCTCAACTCTGTTGCATAAAGCTGCTGGGGATTTGGAGCTCTCAATATATACCATAGAAGTGTGATCCCAATACCTTATGCAAACCCGATGGAGATTTCACTTTACTTATTGGTGACTGGTACAAAACGCCATAAGGTTAGTGTCCTCTTCTTCATTTTTGCTACCAAAGGTTCATATTTTCCTTTCGCTTGCCAAGTATCTTCGTCTTCACCTCCTGATGTTTTTTTATAAACAGGATTAAGACTTGTTGTCTAGGTTTGATTAATTGTCTCAAATATATTTCCTATTTTGCAGATATTGCAGCAATCTTTGGACTCAGGAAAGCCTCTTCCATTTCCTGATGGAGTCCTTATAAATGGCCAGACTCGAACTACATTTAGTGGCGAACAAGGTCATTATTTGATATATTTGTAAATTTTAAGATGTTTTGTTTACCTATAAGTTTATTTGTGATTTCAGAAAACTTACATGGTTAGGATCTCAAATGTTGGATTATCCACCTCTTGAACTTCAGGATTCAGGGTCACACAATGAAGCTAGTTGAGGTTGAAGGATCTCATGTGTTCAGAACTTATATGATTCTCTTGATGTTCATGTTGGACAATCTTTAGCTGTGTTAGTAACCTTGAATCAGCCACCAAAGAATACTACATATCGCATCAACAAGATTTACTAGGACCGTTCTTACTGCAACTGCGGTATTGCAGTATGCGAACTCGCAAACACCGGTTTCTGGACCCCTGCCAGCAGCTCCTCATTCCAATTTCATTGGTCAATGCAGCAAGCAAGAACATATAGGTACTAGTTTTGAAGCACTACTTGTTCTTGAATTCAGTTTAGCTCAAGATAAGCTTATTTGAAACATTTTCCTTTTTTTCTTGAAAGGTGGAATTTAACATCAAATGCAGCCAGGCCTAATCCCCAGGGTTCATTCCATTATGGAAGATAACACCAACTAAGACCATTGTGTTGTCCAATTCGGCATCCCTAATAAACGGAAGCTGCGTTACACTGTGAACGGTGTCTCTTACATTAATCCGGATACCCCTCCGAAGCTTGCTGATCATTTTAACATTCCTGGAGTTTTCACCATTGATTCCATCCAAGGCCTTCCCCAGTGCTACTGCAACCGTAGCTACCTCTGTTATGCCAGTTCTATCCACGATTTTCTTGAAGTTGTCTTTCAGAACAACGAAACAGCCTGCAATCTTGGCATCTTGATGTTATGATTTTTGGGTCGTTGGGAGTCGTACTGGCCTGTTTGCTTGCTGTCTTTTTTCTGCATCTTTATGTTTCTGATTCGGTTCTTGTCGTTTCTATTATAATACATACAGTTTGGCTATGGACAATGGACTCCACATAACGAAAAACTTACAATCTAGTCGATGCTCTTACGAGACACACTACTCAGGTAAGCCACATGCCTGTGTTAGATACTGTATTTTCTGCTACTGATGCCTTTATTCCTTCCCAGGTTTATCCAAATTCTTGGACAGCCATATTGATCTCCATGGACAACCAAGGGATGTGGAACCTGAGGTCTGCACAATGGGAAGACAGTATCTGGACAACAATTTTACTTAAGAGTCTTTGACCCTGTGCGAAGTCTTACCACGAATACGATATTCCTTCTAATGTCTTACCTGTGGCAAAGCTGTTGGAATTCGCCCTTAGATTGAGTTATAAACCCATGGAGAGTGTTTGGTTGCAGAGAAAGTAGATGTGGATTAAAATGTTCGAGTTTGTATGTGTTTTTTCATTTGTATGTGATGGAAAACTTGATCAGTTGTACTGTATTAGCTCCAAGGGATTTAATTATATAAAGTTATATAAGTTTTAAATCATAGTATCAAGAGTTTGTGGACATATGATAATGGTAACGAGGTTCCTGCATATGAACAAATTATTAATCTAATGACAAAACCTTTTTCAGTATCATTTTTTTTATTGGTTTCGATATAAATTATCTATGTTACTTGTGGATGTCTCTTCAAGTTATTTTCATAAGGATTAATGGTTTGTGTTGGTTTGATACAGGAGTTCATTAAAGACAGGTAAATCAAATGAGATCACATGGTGTATGCTTGGGGTCGAGATTAAGCTACAAAAGGTGGAGCAAAACATCAAGATTCAAGAGTAAAGAGAAAGCAAGGTGAATGTTAAGTATAGGTAAAGCTTAGAGTATTTTAGAATAGATATTACAAATATAACTTACGAAATGATTTTTTATTTTAATTGTTTTCATTATGTAAAAGATTTAATAATTCGTACCACTAGATCCAATATAAAAAATAATTGAATTTAAAAGGTGAAATAAGAAGAAAAAAGAAGGGGGGAGGGCGACATACCAACTGATCTATAACATGCTGCAGTTGGAATCCTCCTTTCCAACTGCCAGGAATCAAATTGCTGTTTACGAGAACATTTTCATTACTTTCTTGTTGAACAAAACAATACACAGAATCTGTAACCCCCACAGACCGATAAGGGTAGCCCGATCCGATCCGGGAAGTCACATTAGGGCCACCGGAGCGACCCACTGTAAAAATAGCGGAAAATTTAAATCTTTTTATCCGAACATGTAAACTTATAAAATCATTTGTCACTATTTAAAAATAAAACATATTTCCAGACTCGTATATAAATCAAAATACAATTACATGCTCCCTAATCACATGTACCATACTCTGCAACAACGCCGGAAGAACTCCCTTACTGAAGTCGATAGATGCTCTGGTACAATTCTTTTAACCTGAAAATATGAGTAATAGAGTGAGCTTCGAAAAGCTCAGTAATACAGAACTACCAGATGATGCTGATGAACGTGCAGATATAGATAAATATTTTCCTTATTGGTTCAGATATTTACAGATTTTTATGTTGAGCAGAGATCCTACTGATATTTCAGGTGGTAACGGACAATGAGCTTTCGTTTCAGAGAAATATTTCGGATGACTGAGTTCAGGAGATCAGAATAGGTTTTCTAGTGTGTTCCCAAAAAAAACCATGTAACTTTTCAGATCTTTTTAAAACATATATATATACCCCCATCCGTCACGAACAAAATGTGTAGGTTCCCCAGAACCATACAACCCCGTCACTAACAGTAAGGCCCTGAGCACACAGCCGAGGAACCGGTAAGTAAGGCCCTGAGCACACAGCCGAGGAACCTCCAAGTAATCTTCCTCCAACAATACCCCCAATAAAACATGTTCCGTCCGTAACGGATATATCAAAAATCAAAACATATATCAAGTCAAGTATCATATCAGAATTCAGGTCATGTATCAGATCAGAATCCATGTCAATATCAGATCAGAATCCAGGTCAGGTATCATAACATAATTCAAATTTGAAATCAGATAAAATATTCATGTAATTAGGGAACACACCAGAATTTACAGGAATTATTTAGAGGTACTGTATCAGGCAGAGAAACACAGTTCTTCAGTATGTCGATAGAATGTTGGAATTTAGAATCACTATTGGAAGAGTTCATTAACTGACAGAATCATCAGTTATTCAGAATGTGAATTATCAGGATCGTATCTTATTCGGACAGTTTTCAGAAGTTGTACGTAATCAGAAGGGTATTCACTCTTTAATACCACAAATTCTTGTCCATAGATCATCTTCAGAATCATCGCTGAATAGATATTCCAATGGTCTTTATTTCATTTCCAAGCTTCCACGATATCATGAAATACTGACGTGCTTGATTTGTAGTTCATGTTCCATAAGGACGATACATCATGTAAATTCATCCGAATTTCCAGGCTTATCCTAATCACTTACTTAATCCTCAGTCATCGAAGTTACTTAGTTCATTTAGCATTCAAGTCCATTCCAATTACCTCGATATTTTCCAGAGTAATACAAACGTTCCTGTATTTCAGATATATATTGTACTTCAGATCCATTCAATTTGGTCTTCTTGGTTGATTTGTCGAACAAACGCCCAATTCTTAATACTGAATGCGATCTAGGGTTGAGCTGAGCTGAATACTTCCAAAATTATCATCAAGCTAAACTTGAGTACACGAACAAGCATTCAAGTAATATATATGTCGTTCAGGTACTGACATATCATTAAAGTTGATCGGCTTACTTAAGTTGTGTTCCATACTTTTTTTAAGGTAGTCCAATACCTATGTTTATTTGGATTCCTTAATTAATCCAAGGCATTTACTTAGAATAGGACACAAGGGTATTTTGGTAAATTTGGTGTTCATTTTTATTCCATTTATTTCAGAGCTCGAGGATATCCAATCATTCCTGAGCTTGGTGATATTCTTGGTTCATTTCCATTACAGGGGTATTTTGGTCATTTTACAGATTCAGCGTATTTCAATCATTTCCTTCTGTCCGATCTTACTATTAAATTCAATCTTATCATTTATTTCAGTCATTTCGAACAATTATGACAACAGAACACCCCCGATAAATTACTCTTCCAGTATTTACTCATTATTCGAATATTTTTAGGTCAAGTGTCTTCTCAGACTTTACAAACGGAATATCATAAATTTTCCTGCACTAAGTCGGGATCTTAACAATTAAATCCGTACTTAATCGAGTTAAGTACGAATCCTCTAAGTATTTTCTCATTCAGAGTCACCTCAGACTATTCTACCTCTTAAGGGCATTTCCGTAATTTCTTAACCAGATAAGTTCGATATTAGCTCTTAACGAAAATAATATAATTTAGAGATCCTATGATTAATTGCTTTCTTGAACAATCTCTGATCTTGAAATAATTCCCTTAACACACTTCTAGTATCTTGCATAAACCCTCTTGGGGTTAAAAACCGGTTATCCATAATGTCTACGTATAACTATCATTTCTTATAAACATCAATATTTTTATCAGATCAATATGTCTGTAAAATCCTCTTATCTAACTTCCATATTCCAATCTTGTCTTTTATAACACAAGGGTATTTTCGTAATTTTACCCTACCGGAGTATTTTTATAAATTCACATCCAAATGCCTTTAACATTTAACCTTTGATGAAATAAATTACAAGTTACAGATCCAGGTTGATTTCTTTACCACTAAGCACATAACTTGTAATTTAATTCTAGTAATCCCTTAATTTCTTATAAAAGTCATCTGAACCATAATCAATTACTGAACCTTTTTACCGTATTCAGATCGAGTGTAGAACTTCATTAATTACACATATGAGACCAAACATTTTCATTCATGCATTTACCAATACCAACATGTTCTATAAAGCATAAAGAGGTAGTAAAGTATTACCTCGATTTTCGTGCAATATCGATCGACCATAAAAATTCCATTCGAATGCCTTTGATCTTCAATTCAACTTCCAATAATTCCTCAGATACATATCAACATAAATTATATCAGAAACGGAGCTTAATTACGATAAACGGATCGAATCGGGTGATAAATCAGTGAAAGACGGCTTACCGGGTTCGAATTTGGCGAAACGGACTTCGGATTCGGATTCAGGACGTCGAAAGCATAAAATATGACTTTTCGGAAATTTGGAATTTTTGGTCAAAATCAAAGTCAACGGGTTTGACTGACAATTTCGAGGTCTTCGGGTTTGAATTTCGAAAAACGGACAGCGGAATCGAATTTGGAACGTCGAAAAATGTCAGGATAGGTATACTCGGTCGAAGTCAAAGGTCGTTTAATGCCCGATCAAAGCCGGTCAAAGTTTTGGTCAACAGTGGTCAACTTCGGTCAACGGTCAACGAGTCAATGGTCAACAGGTCGGGTCAACGGGTCGGGTCGGGTAACCGGGTCGGGTAAACGGGTCGAGTCCGTCAATGGGTCGGGTCGGGTTGTGACCGGTCAAACCGGTCAAAACAGTTCCAAAACCGGTCAAACCGGTCACTTTTCCCTTCCCCACGCGCAGTGGCGGCGCGTGGGGGCGCGTGAACAGTGATAAAATCCCGGAAAAATTTCTAAAAATTATTTTGAGCGATTTCGAGATACTTACAAAGCTCGGTTCATAATTTTGAACGGCGGAGAGCTCGATTTCAACAAATCGGGAAGTTTGACCGGTTCACCTCCCAACGCGCCGCCGCCGCCGGAGAAAAAGGAGAACACCGGTGGACTCGGAACGGCACAAGGAACACGATGGTGCGGGAGGTGTCGTAAACGGATGACCCGATCGTCGTGAATCGATGAAAAACCAACTAAAACCGAGTTATTACCGACGATACTTCCGACTGAAATTCACGACGAACGGCGATGATTCATGACGAAAGGTTTGAGGGGTTTTGTTCCTCGGTTGACAACGAACACGATGGTTGTTTCGGCTTGTCGTTTGGAGGTCGGACGGCGAGTAGATCGGAGTTGGAAGTAGGGAGAACGGGAGAGGAAAACTGGAAAATTTTCCAGAAACATACGGGAGTCTGGGGGGTTTAACATCTCATAATTAAAAATGGCTAACCAAGAGTTTAGCCACTGAACTTCCTGCACTTCTTAAAACGGTCTGTCAACTTTGAAATCTTACAATTTAATCCCTTATTTCTTTCAAAATACCAAATTAAATCCACCAATTTATATTTTATTAAATTTAGCCCCTAAATTGGGGTGTTACAATTCTCCCCTCCTTAAAAAAAATTTCGTCCTCGAAATTCATTCATGTCACATAATTGCATAAATGAAACTTCCATCAGTTCTTTCAAATCTATCAATAGCTTTTATAAAAGTACGATTCCTCCACTTATCCTTAACCAGTTGAGCATACATTCTTATCATAAATTTTCCTATTTTTCAATAAAAGAATTTAAAATTTTCTCGAGTAATCAATCTCTTCAGAATTCTCCCTCAGTCCAAGTAAATAATTACAACAACTTTATTCTTGTGAAATCAATTCAGCATTGGATACGTGAATAGGCTCGTAGAGCAGCAACATATCTCAATTTCATTTCCGGAGTCGAGTCAGAATTTCCCAGATAATTAACTCTCACATGGATCAGGGGTACTTTACAACGTTTAGATAGATGTTACTGTTATTCTTTTTTGTACAAGTATAGCCTTAACAGATAGAAACTTTGGTTTACTCGTTACAGATAGGGACTCAGCCCTGGAGTTCCGGCTCAGAGAGGTACGATTACAGTCTAGGGGCATGTACTGATCAGACATATTTTGATATTCGACCGGCCGGTCTATCTTGAAATTTTTTGACTCAAACCATAGCTCTGATACCACTAAATGTAACCCCCACAGACCGATAAGGGTAGCCCGATCCGATCCGGGAAGTCACATTAGGGCCACCGGAGCGACCCACTGTAAAAATAGCGGAAAATTTAAATCTTTTTATCCGAACATGTAAACTTATAAAATCATTTGTCACTATTTAAAAATAAAACATATTTCCAGACTCGTATATAAATCAAAATACAATTACATGCTCCCTAATCACATGTACCATACTCTGCAACAACGCCGGAAGAACTCCCTTACTGAAGTCGATAGATGCTCTGGTACAATTCTTTTAACCTGAAAATATGAGTAATAGAGTGAGCTTCGAAAAGCTCAGTAATACAGAACTACCAGATGATGCTGATGAACGTGCAGATATAGATAAATATTTTCCTTATTGGTTCAGATATTTACAGATTTTTATGTTGAGCAGAGATCCTACTGATATTTCAGGTGGTAACGGACAATGAGCTTTCGTTTCAGAGAAATATTTCGGATGACTGAGTTCAGGAGATCAGAATAGGTTTTCTAGTGTGTTCCAAAAAAAAAACCATGTAACTTTTCAGATCTTTTTAAAACATATATATATACCCCCATCCGTCACGAACAAAATGTGTAGGTTCCCCAGAACCATACAACCCCGTCACTAACAGTAAGGCCCTGAGCACACAGCCGAGGAACCGGTAAGTAAGGCCCTGAGCACACAGCCGAGGAACCTCCAAGTAATCTTCCTCCAACAATACCCCCAATAAAACATGTTCCGTCCGTAACGGATATATCAAAAATCAAAACATATATCAAGTCAAGTATCATATCAGAATTCAGGTCATGTATCAGATCAGAATCCATGTCAATATCAGATCAGAATCCAGGTCAGGTATCATAACATAATTCAAATTTGAAATCAGATAAAATATTCATGTAATTAGGGAACACACCAGAATTTACAGGAATTATTTAGAGGTACTGTATCAGGCAGAGAAACACAGTTCTTCAGTATGTCGATAGAATGTTGGAATTTAGAATCACTATTGGAAGAGTTCATTAACTGACAGAATCATCAGTTATTCAGAATGTGAATTATCAGGATCGTATCTTATTCGGACAGTTTTCAGAAGTTGTACGTAATCAGAAGGGTATTCACTCTTAATACCACAAATTCTTGTCCATAGATCATCTTCAGAATCATCGCTGAATAGATATTCCAATGGTCTTTATTTCATTTCCAAGCTTCCACGATATCATGAAATACTGACGTGCTTGATTTGTAGTTCATGTTCCATAAGGACGATACATCATGTAAATTCATCCGAATTTCCAGGCTTATCCTAATCACTTACTTAATCCTCAGTCATCGAAGTTACTTAGTTCATTTAGCATTCAAGTCCATTCCAATTACCTCGATATTTTCCAGAGTAATACAAACGTTCCTGTATTTCAGATATATATTGTACTTCAGATCCATTCAATTTGGTCTTCTTGGTTGATTTGTCGAACAAACGCCCAATTCTTAATACTGAATGCGATCTAGGGTTGAGCTGAGCTGAATACTTCCAAAATTATCATCAAGCTAAACTTGAGTACACGAACAAGCATTCAAGTAATATATGTCGTTCAGGTACTGACATATCATTAAAGTTGATCGGCTTACTTAAGTTGTGTTCCATACTTTTTTTAAGGTAGTCCAATACCTATGTTTATTTGGATTCCTTAATTAATCCAAGGCATTTACTTAGAATAGGACACAAGGGTATTTTGGTAAATTTGGTGTTCATTTTTATTCCATTTATTTCAGAGCTCGAGGATATCCAATCATTCCTGAGCTTGGTGATATTCTTGGTTCATTTCCATTACAGGGTATTGGTCATTTACAGATTCAGCGTATTTCAATCATTTCCTTCTGTCCGATCTTACTATTAAATTCAATCTTATCATTTATTTCAGTCATTTCGAACAATTATGACAACAGAACACCCCCGATAAATTACTCTTCCAGTATTTACTCATTATTCGAATATTTTTAGGTCAAGTGTCTTCTCAGACTTTACAAACGGAATATCATAAATTTTCCTGCACTAAGTCGGGATCTTAACAATTAAATCCGTACTTAATCGAGTTAAGTACGAATCCTCTAAGTATTTTCTCATTCAGAGTCACCTCAGACTATTCTACCTCTTAAGGGCATTTCCGTAATTTCTTAACCAGATAAGTTCGATATTAGCTCTTAACGAAAATAATATAATTTAGAGATCCTATGATTAATTGCTTTCTTGAACAATCTCTGATCTTGAAATAATTCCCTTAACACACTTCTAGTATCTTGCATAAACCCTCTTGGGGTTAAAAACCGGTTATCCATAATGTCTACGTATAACTATCATTTCTTATAAACATCAATATTTTTATCAGATCAATATGTCTGTAAAATCCTCTTATCTAACTTCCATATTCCAATCTTGTCTTTTATAACACAAGGGTATTTTCGTAATTTTACCCTACCGGAGTATTTTTATAAATTCACATCCAAATGCCTTTAACATTTAACCTTTGATGAAATAAATTACAAGTTACAGATCCAGGTTGATTTCTTTACCACTAAGCACATAACTTGTAATTTAATTCTAGTAATCCCTTAATTTCTTATAAAAGTCATCTGAACCATAATCAATTACTGAACCTTTTTACCGTATTCAGATCGAGTGTAGAACTTCATTAATTACACATATGAGACCAAACATTTTCATTCATGCATTTACCAATACCAACATGTTCTATAAAGCATAAAGAGGTAGTAAAGTATTACCTCGATTTTCGTGCAATATCGATCGACCATAAAAATTCCATTCGAATGCCTTTGATCTTCAATTCAACTTCCAATAATTCCTCAGATACATATCAACATAAATTATATCAGAAACGGAGCTTAATTACGATAAACGGATCGAATCGGGTGATAAATCAGTGAAAGACGGCTTACCGGGTTCGAATTTGGCGAAACGGACTTCGGATTCGGATTCAGGACGTCGAAAGCATAAAATATGACTTTTCGGAAATTTGGAATTTTTGGTCAAAATCAAAGTCAACGGGTTTGACTGACAATTTCGAGGTCTTCGGGTTTGAATTTCGAAAAACGGACAGCGGAATCGAATTTGGAACGTCGAAAAATGTCAGGATAGGTATACTCGGTCGAAGTCAAAGGTCGTTTAATGCCCGATCAAAGCCGGTCAAAGTTTTGGTCAACAGTGGTCAACTTCGGTCAACGGTCAACGAGTCAATGGTCAACAGGTCGGGTCAACGGGTCGGGTCGGGTAACCGGGTCGGGTAAACGGGTCGAGTCCGTCAATGGGTCGGGTCGGGTTGTGACCGGTCAAACCGGTCAAAACAGTTCCAAAACCGGTCAAACCGGTCACTTTCCCTTCCCCACGCGCAGTGGCGGCGCGTGGGGGCGCGTGAACAGTGATAAAATCCCGGAAAAATTTCTAAAAATTATTTTGAGCGATTTCGAGATACTTACAAAGCTCGGTTCATAATTTTGAACGGCGGAGAGCTCGATTTCAACAAATCGGGAAGTTTGACCGGTTCACCTCCCAACGCGCCGCCGCCGCCGGAGAAAAAGGAGAACACCGGTGGACTCGGAACGGCACAAGGAACACGATGGTGCGGGAGGTGTCGTAAACGGATGACCCGATCGTCGTGAATCGATGAAAAACCAACTAAAACCGAGTTATTACCGACGATACTTCCGACTGAAATTCACGACGAACGGCGATGATTCATGACGAAAGGTTTGAGGGGTTTTGTTCCTCGGTTGACAACGAACACGATGGTTGTTTCGGCTTGTCGTTTGGAGGTCGGACGGCGAGTAGATCGGAGTTGGAAGTAGGGAGAACGGGAGAGGAAAACTGGAAAATTTTCCAGAAACATACGGGAGTCTGGGGGGTTTATAACATCTCATAATTAAAAATGGCTAAACCAAGAGTTTAGCCACTGAACTTCCTGCACTTCTTAAAACGGTCTGTCAACTTTGAAATCTTACAATTTAATCCCTTATTTCTTTCAAAATACCAAATTAAATCCACCAATTTATATTTTATTAAATTTAGCCCCTAAATTGGGGTGTTACAGAATCTTTAATCTTTCATATGCTACCCACCACTTCGTCACACAAACTTCAACCCTAAAAAAGTTTCGCATAATGACAAAATTAGCCAATATTTGTGATTAACGGTTAATACTTATCGTAACCGTTGACGTAATATTTTCACATATATTCAATTACTTCAATGACTTCAATAGCATGTAAATAATCTCTATGGTTTGATAGTTTCTTTTTAGCCTTAAAAACAACCGTAGCAAAGCAACTTTAACCCCTTACATACAATAATGGACAATCGAAACTGTAAAATAACGAGAAAAGCTTGTAAGTAACATTTTTTTTCTAACTAGTTCTACATCGATCCTTGGAACACTCTCATAAATAGTTAAAACACACCTTAAAAACACACCGAAACGAAAAAGAAACAACCTAGTCAAGAAGAACCGACCGACAACATTTATCATATGAGAAAGAGGTTATTTTAAGGATATGCACCATTAGTTGTTGGAAGATCAGACCATGATGATGAAAATGCCGGATTCCAGTAACCCAGTTCTCCTCCTGCAACCGGAGATGACTCCAAAATCGTTGAAGGCGACGATAAAGAAGAAGAAGAAGCCACATTGCTTAGGATCACTGCTGAAGTATTAGAGTAATAACTTGATGGAGATGATGATTTGAACCTTTGATACAGTTCTTGGACCATACCTGCGTTTTGAACTTCACCTACTAGGAACCCGTTATTATTCTGTTGTTGTTGATTGTTTTTGCAGAAAGGGTTAACAAGATCCAAGCCTAGGATTCGAGCATTTAGTGCACCAGTTGCAACCGTTGTTTGTTCGTTCATCACTTGGGATCCAAGCAAGCTCAATTCTTCCTTGATACCAACAGGATTAGACAAAGTGTTAGGGCTAGGGTTTTGGGTGGTTCTCAATAAGGATAAAAGATGTGAATTCTGGGGTGAAGTAGTTGTCCAAAGAACCGGAGTAGTAGATTGAAGCTGATCATGATCGAACCCAGATCTACTAACTTCAGAAACTACAGTTTTCATCTCGGAAAAAGAAGCTGATTTCCCCAAAGATGATGTCGAAACAATACCGGCACCGCTTTTGTTCTTCCTACACCCACCGCCTATAGGAACGTTCCTGAGAGCGCCTCCTTTGGTCCAATACCGACGGCAAGTCTTGCAGAAGTGACGAGGCTGAGTGAGATTGTAGTTGTTGTAATAGCAGAACTTGGTGTTGGAGGAATCACACCGGGGGCACCTCAAGTTCTGGTGGTTCTTCGAATTTGATGAAATAGTCACCGGAGAAGACGAAGGGGACGGAGATGGTGATGGAGAAGAAGAAGAAGTTGGGGTTCCTTCTAAAATGGTTCCATTGATGGAGATTTTTGTTTCACCTCCAAAGTTTAAGCAGGACGAAGCTCCAAGGAGTTCTTGAATCATGTTTTTGTAGATCTACAAAAATCCAAAAAAAAAAAAAAGGCAAAGAAGATGGCGAGTGTTTTTATTTTTGGTTAGTGGCTGAAAAGCTAAAGTAGGGAAGAATTGGTTTGGCTGTTTTTGTGGGTGCAAAAGAATGGAGGATAAAAGGGTGGGGATTCTTTAATATAGCCTCTGCTATATCAATATGAGAGAAAGAAGAAGAAGAAGAAGAATGCTCACTATAGTGCCTTTCTAGCTCAAAAGCAACTCTTTTTGGATTATAAATTTGGTTCTAAGCTGTTCTTGGAGGGAAGTGACTTGTATTCAATCTTGTCAAATTTGAATGGCTGCCATTCGATCATTATTAATTTTCGACTCAACTATTAACAAAAAAAAGTAATTCTATAAAAAATCAAAATAAAATTATTAAAAACTTGAAATTCAATGCAACTAATTAAATTATGGATGATTATTTTATCGAGTCAATAAATTTTGAATTAACAAGTCATATTTTAGGATATAAATTTTATTTAAATCTTTTCTTTGAGTGAAATTTGAGTTGAACCGAATCAAATTTTTAAGTTCACGTAAAAAAATTAATTACAAATATTTATAAATCTATGGTACGAATTGATTTAATTTAAGGACTTTCTTTAACCATATAAGATATACATACATTTTTCTTCATAGGTTTTTTGCATTGCAATATTATTTATAAATATTCAAAAATCATCTAAAATTATAAAATATATTTATAATTTTATTTTTTAAAAGAACTTATTGTGAAAAAGTATTGATGTGAAAAAAGAATTTGTAAAAGAAAAATACAACAAAAGGATTAAATAAAATATAATGTTAAGGGATTTAATTGTAAAAACAATAAATTTATTGTTAAGAATAAGAATTGAAGTTACATAAATACTGTATAAAAATTGAGGTTGCATAGATATTTTAGCGTTAGAGGAATATGAAATTTAAATTTGAATGAAAATGAACTTAAAATGATAGAAGAGTCAAATATAAGAAGAAATAGGAGTGAATATTTAAGGCGAGTCATATTTCATCATTCAAATTTTATTTATAAAAAATGAGTCAAATTGTATAGAATTTTGCACACTCGAAATTAAGTCATCAATTTTCAGTTTAATTTATATTCTAAAAAAATAATAAATATGGTCGCGGATAAAGAAGGTATTGTTGTGCATCAATAATCTATTATTGTGGGTGTTTTTAGTAATCCAATTATGTTAATAGTTGGAAAGTGATAGTAGTGGTTAAGAATTTTACTAATAATTAATATGTTATTTTTAATACATTAAATTGAGAAATGATTGATCGTAATCAAGTTTCCTAAAAGAAGAAGCTTTGGCTGGGGTTGAAAAACCATACGATTCCAAGTTCAAAAGGAAACACAAATGACATTGAAGAACGTGTAAAGTTGAAAGTCCCCACCTCCAACTACAAACCCATTGCTGTCGTTGGACAACGTGTTCATGAGTTTCATCCTACTCTAAATAAATTTTAAATTCTATATTGCTAAAAAAAATATCAAATGATAATTCTAAGTTTAGGTGAGATAATTTAATTTAAAATTTAGTTATTTAAACATTTAATTAATTGAATACGAATTTAATAAGAAAAAAAAAAGAATCAAACTTGAAAGTGATGAAATCAATGTTTCTTGTGTTTATGTATGAAGCTGGCAAACACAGTTCTCTATTGTCTGAAAACAGTTTGTGTCTTGAACATGAAGCATCGTTCGATGGTTTTACAAAATGGAAACTTTCAATGACGCAAGTATACAGGAAAATAATTAAGAAAGAAGATCAAAATTGGTTGAAAATGAAAGGTTCAGATGGGAATGGCGGGGTCTACATGTCTCAAGTTTGTCGATCCAATTTGTCAATCGCCATTTTCACGGTCTTAAAATCATCCAACTGTCAAGAAACAAATCTTTTAATTATCACTAGGGGGATTATATATGGAGACTATAGAAAGAGGGAAACAATGTTTAAATGACTTTCTAATATTGGCATTACCTAACCCTAACTATAATTATAACAAAGTCTAGGGCATGTCAAATCTTGTCCGAATTCATCAATCAAATTTTCAATAATCTAATCAGATAGTAGATCTATTGGTTATTTGATCACGTTAATTTAATGTCATCTCCGAAAAAAAATACAACATCCACTTAGTTCTATTGATAATTTATTTTTACCCATAACATAAAATTATGTGACTGCCCCTGAACTCACACGCCCACTAATACTCAATCAAAAAGGGAAAAACAAGGATAATACATAAACCATCACCAACAATTTTCTTTTCCCATGTGAGAAACTTTATATTCTTAGCATTGTGTTAAATTTTATATTCTTTGGGCTTTTTAATACACACGAAAACATAACATGGAAAACAGAAGAAACTCAAGGCTAATTAATGTTAATTTTCATGAGCTGGTAAAAATTAATCAGATTGTAGTTAGTTGAGTAAGGAATTAGCTTTCAATTACATTCCACTACTAGATTAGCTAACCTAACTTGTCGACTCCATTAATATAAAACACATGAGCATATGTAGGCTCAAACTTAATCTACGAAGCATCATTCCTTTGAATATAAAATCTCATTGTTTTATCTTACACCACTTTTGCAAGAATAAAATAAAATAACTACATGTATATTAAAACGGATCCTTAAAGTTTCCAACATGAAATTAAGTGTTACAATATCAATCAAGTTGCATGGAAACGACATTTTTGTGAAAGAGAAATTATACCATACAGTGGGGGGTGGTCCAGAAATCCTAAGTTTCGCTTTGATACAATGAATATATATTTTCTTTTAAGGTGGGAATTTGGAGATGTCCAAATCTTGTCTGAAAAAGACCAAAGTTACGAAAATGAAATCAGCTTCCCATGAAGAAGAGAGAACACATGCTAAAAGCTTAACTGTTCCACACCCAAGAAATGAAGAAAACGAAATGAGAATGCAAAAGGCAAATGAAAGAAAATGAAAACTCAAATTCAGCCTTTTTAATTTTTTCCATAAAGGAAACAGTTTGAAGAGGAAAGCAAAAAATGCGTGTTTCTCGAATTATGTAGTTTTTGAGAAAATTATTGTTTGCAAAAACAACAGCTGAAAGTACCTGACCGCGCGTGCCGTCCGGTGCGCGAGACCGGCTGCCCTTTCCCCCCACTTTATCTGATACACTGGAAAACGACATCATCTTATTACAAATATTTGTAATTGAATGATTTAAATATAAATCTCTCGGTATGTAAATCCACTTAACGAGCTAATTAATAACAGAGGATATTTTCTTTTCAAAGATTTTAGATTTAAACAATTATAATTAAATTGTATATTATTAATAATTAAAAATATTATGAATAAATATTATTTTATAAATAAATTTAAATAATTTTTAAATATTAATATTTTATTGAGCCTGTATTTGGGGAGATAATGTAGTCGCCATCAAAGTGGAATGGGGGCAGCCTTCCCATTGATCCATGGGGTTTCCTGTCTTGTGCTTCTTTTTTGATTGCCCCATCACCTATCAGCTGCATTTTTGCTTTGTATTATTGGTTTTTTTGCCCTCTATTACAGTTAGAAGTATGTAAAAGGATTCGATTCGATTCAATCAATTTGATTTATTGATCTTTTAATTCGGTTCACTTTTTAATTTTCTGATAATTTGGATTAGAAATTTAAAAATATTTAGATAACTGGATCAGATCAATTTCAATTTCAGATTATTCGAAAATTTAAAAGAAACTAGGCTTTTAGATTTTAGATAGTCTTTAGTCCAATAAACGACTAACCCACTAACTCATTAAAGCTCTAGTCCAATAAAAATTATGATATTTAATTATTTGTTGTCTGTGAGTAATTAAATATATATGTAATATACTAAAGGTATCGAATAATTTACATTAAGTCACAAAATAAAAAAAATATTTTTTGTCAAATTAAATTTATATTTAAATATTCGAATATCCGATCTTAAAATTTGGATATCCAAAAATTCAGATATCTAATTTTTTTAGATCGGATATAGATCATTATTTTAGACTTTTTTAAAATTATTGATAACATGTATATATTTTGCAGAATTAATTGTTCGAATCTAATTTTTTTTTAAAAATATTATATTTAACTAGCAAGAACCGCTTAACAAGTCCAAAAGATCAGGCGATACTTAAGTACATAAATTCTAAGCTAATGTATTTTTGAGTGGGTCAAGAATAGATTCAGATATTATCGATATAAAAGCATCCACATATAACATTAATATTACAAACAATAAGTTTTTTATGAAGTTGGAGATTTTCATTTTTTTTAAATACCACAATTGATGTTGCCCCTATAAAATTTTAATAAAAGTATTTTCTTTTAACATTGTTGGTCTGAACCGGTGATGATAATTTTATTAGAATTCAACAAATTTTGATTTGACTTAATTTAATTTTTTTTATTTAAGTAAGATCAAATTAAGTTGTACCTAACTCGTCCATTGATATAGAAAACCAATGGAAAGTTGGGCTTACTACCATGCATGAAACGTTCCATGCTGGAAAACAATTGTGCATCGAGAGTGGCGAGATCGCTCAGTTTACAGAATTTAAAAATATAGAGAAAATTTATGGGTGTTAGCCTGCAATGATTGTGATTAAATTGCCAAATTCGTATTTTAGAGCAATTCTCACATATACCATACAAGAAAGGAAGTTTGGAGTGAGATTCTCCATCAGAAAGATTATTGAATTCTTTTATGATAATGATATATTAACAAAAACAATACGACAAAAAGGAATCCAAGTGTTTCACTTGTTTCTTTTATCAGTTCATTCGTTCGCGTAATTACTTGAACTCGTAATCTAAAAGAACACTCCTTTTAATCATTAACGTCAGTCAATGAATTCATCATCATTTTTAGATCATTTAACTATCTCATATTAAACTAGAGTGTATACTTATCACATTACCATAGCTCTTACAACATTTTCATCAATCACAAAAATATTAAATCATCCAAATATAACATAAACTTGGTAATTAAGAAATTAACATAACAAAACATATAAACACGAGCCAAATGGTCACAAAGACCTCAGAATACAAGCCACATACCTAGGAGTTTTAGAAACAAAAGAATTTACATTGATAAAATATTAAAAATTGACTCATAAACCCTAAAATACGGTTTATAGCACTAATATGATCAAACCCATGCAAAAATAGTTAAGCAAACATATTGAATTTCAAAAGGACCAATGAGATAGTCGAGACATAAATTAAACGTAACATATCAAACATAATCACATATCAAAATTAAACATAATATATATTTGTACATAGCTTAGCATTTCTTTTACCCAAGTTTACATAATTATATTAATGCACTTAGCATATTTTTTTATTAAATATAATATGATGAACTATTAATAGTCTACGGATAATTGAATCTCACCTCATCGTCAAGCATCATATGATACAATACATAATATCTTTCTATCTCATCGGGACATACAATCCTAAATAATCTAACATCCTCATTTTTGACAAAATTAAAGTTTTTAGATAAATTTGCACATAAACACTATAGACCATATGACATGTCAATTGTATCTAGCACTAAACTAATAATCAAGGGCTCGGTAATCACATTATAAAAGTATAAAAAATCACCATTCTTTTAGTATTAGATTAGCACACAACTTATTATTATTATCAAATAGAACATTTAATTCATTTGTACAAATCAAACATGGCAATTAATATAGTTCCATATGATATTACAATTCAGATATCACACATAAATACTAACACATTCAGATATATATAAATTCATCAAAAATTCATAACGAAAACACATAATAACTTATCAAATGACATGTTAGTCCAAGTGCTCGAATAGAGCCAAAATCATAATTTAGACATTCCATACCTAATACTTACACAAGTCAAAATCAGTTTATGATACATAAAGATAGGGTACCGTATAAAGGTGGAATGGCTAAAATAGAGGGATGCTACTGGAGTTTTGTGTGACAAGAAGGTGCTTCTAAAACTTAAGGGAAAATTTTATAGAATGACAATAAGACCAGCGCTGCTGTAGGATTAGAATGTTGGGCAATCAAGAAGGATCACGTAAGGAGGATGGAGGCAACAGAAATGAGAATGCTCCGATGGGCATGTGGTAGGACTCTGTGGGACATGACACCAAACTCTGCTATTAGAATATCCTTGGGGGTAGTGCATGTATCCGAAAAATTGAGGGAGGGAAGACTACGGTGGTTTGGGCATGTCCTTAGGAGACAACATTCGGAAGCGGTCAGGAGGGTAGATTCGATTACAGTCGACGGTCCCAGAAGGAGAGGACGACCAAGGCGGAAGTGGGAAGACTGCTTGAGATCTGATTTGAAGGATTTAGCCCTTACTGAGGACATGACCTCTAATAGGAAAGTATGGAGACTTAAGACCAGGGTAGCCGAGTAGTGCGGGTCACATCCATAGGGTGTATCATCTCCGTCTTCTTTTAATGCCTTTGTAGTAATTTCCATGACTTCTACTTCTTATACGTTCATGTCATTGGAATTTATGAAGGCTTAGAACTAGGATAGCGGAGTAGTATGCCTTAGTTTTGGTTTTAACCCATTTTGACTTTATTCCTTCTCGTAGCTGGCTATCGTTGACTTCTGTGTATCATTCTCTTCTTGTTTCCTCTTTTTAAATTTAGTCGGGTCTTACGTTTCTGTCTATATGCAGAGATTTTTACGCAGGGATTTATTTGCAGGGATTACTTCCCATTATAGACGTGCATGTGAAGACTGCATATGAAGACTGTTCAACTATGTATTTATTTATTCATTTATTTATTTATACATGCATAGCATTTTATCCTTATTTTTTAATTTTCTGACTACCGGAGGTCTTCCGCGGAAGCTACTCTCAACCTGGCGTTAGGGGCATGCCTACTACTCTACCTCTCCCTTACCCCATTACATATGGGAATAAGGTTTTGTTGTTGTTGTTTGACTACATTAATCAAATTTGAATTTATGATAATCCACAGATTAATGGATTACTAAAATAGCTTCTATTTTTCTCTCTCATTAGAGGTACCAATAATTTTTTATTCGTTCAAAATATATAATCACAAGTCAAAACATAAACCTACAAAAATCAAAATTAAAGCGTATAACAACATGCATGTACCTTAATCTTAAATTTAGGGTTTGATAAATTATTAACAAGCTCTGAAATTAAAGATTAACATGACACCAAGCTTGATTCAGTCAAATACTTAAAGGATTTGAAAGAATTTACATTTTTCTCTCTCTTATTCATCAATCATCCATTAATGGACAGTAGAAAATTAATCTTTCTCTCTCTCTTCAATTCAATGGAATCAATTCTTCATAATATCAAAATACATGTACTAATCATCTTTTCACCAAAATCAAAATAATATAACCTGGACGCATAAGCTTAGATAATTTCATCTAATCCCATTATCAATGGAAATTGGACTAATAATCATTTTAGTTAACATTGAGGTTCTTTCAATGGGATCATACCAATCTTTAGTGATCTCCGTTGAAGATCCCATATAATATTAAAAGAAAAAGCAAAAATGAAATGTATGAGCTAGTATATGATATTGATGCTAGTTTTTCAATAATGGAACTTTAAGAACATGGGTGCTACAGTAATCTTGGGACTTGATTTTAATTTTTTTTTAAAATTTAAATGGTTAAATCAATTCGAATATAATGAATTTAGATTCATCGTTTTACTTGTGAATTAACAAATTCTTCAAACTTAAAGCCCACAATGGCATTTCTATTTGTGAATTTTAGTAAGTGTTTTTTATCCGCTTCATCGAATAAAAATAGACAAAACAAACCAAATCAAATGACATTGGGACCTCAAATAACACGATACAAAAAAGGTTGTAGTATGTTTATACTTGCATGTACCTAATAATGTACTACGAGACACTAATTGTCCTTCAAAGATGAACAAAAAAGATAAGATTCACTTGAGCAAATTCCCAGGGGTTGAAATAGCAAGTTCAGGCCAAGAAAAGCAACCACTCCCCGCTTCTCCACCTTCAAAATGCCATGGATTCCCCATTCCAGTTGCAGCCCCATCATTGGCACCACCAACAGCCACACCATCTGCCATGGAAAAAGCCCACATTCCTCTTCCAACCCCAACTCCAACATCTTCGAGTGCTGGACCAATACCAAGCCCGAACCCACCAAGAGCCAGATAACCAGGACCCTGAGGATGATTACTCAACAATGAAGCAAAACCATTGCCCTTGGACTCTCCCTGATTGCCTGACAGTGGCAGTAAAACCTGAGTGGCAGCCGCTGGCAAGTGGAAGTCATTATAACTAGTGGTGGTAGTGGCATTGGTTGAAGAAGAAACGACGGTTCCATGGGTGGTGGTGCGTGAACGCTTTGCGTTTCTTCTGGTGCCACCACCAACAGGGATGTCCCTGAGGGTGCCACCATGAGTCCAGTAACGTCGACATGACTTACAAAAATGACGAGGCTGAGAGAAGTTATAGTTGTTGTAGTAGCAAAACTTGGTGTTGGTAGAATCACATCGAGGACAAGGAAGCTGTTGTTGTTCCGGTGGTGGGGCTCCGGTGTTAATGGCCTTCGTTGACCGCCTGTTTGGATCCGACGCCATTTTCAGAGAAAACAAAGGGGGCTTTAAGCTGTCGGATTCACTTCTTGTGAATGAAATATATTGAGAAGAAGAAGATGATGAGAAAATGACATCTATATAGTGGAGTAACGAATGTTGTGATAAACACAAAACAGAGAAACATGTCCCTAAGGTTATGTGAATTGAGAGAGAGGAAATAAGTGAGCAGGCTTTTACAGTGCTGTGTTAGAAACGACAAAACAAGAGGTTTATGGCAAAAGAAGACGATAATGATTAAATGGATAAGCAGTCAAAGAAGGTTGGTTAATGATATTCCAGTTGGGATACATGAATGGAAGATGACAAAGTTGACAGATTACTGTCCCAAATCGTCATGGACATAATTGAATTCAATCTGATATTTGGGTAAGAGACATAATGATGAGTGTCGGGGCAGCGTGGGGAGCAATGATAGATTCTCCCCTCTGATTTCGGAGGGCTCCTGTCATTATCAGATACCTCCGCCCTACTCTTCCACTGTTCCCTCTTCTCCGCTCACAGCTTACCGACCTTTCACATTTTCACACACCTTTATTACCTAAAGTCCAATCATTCACATTTTAAGCAGGGGGTGTCATAAACCGAGATTGTTTTTATTTATTTATTTTTGAGATTATTTATATTCAATTTATATTTGTTTAAATTTTTAAAATCATATTTATTTGTTTATTTATGGAATTCAATGATCTTGTATAGTTAATTTTTGTCCGTGAAAGTTTATGGATGTATTTAAATCAATCGCGTAATAATCTATCAATTTGATTATCTCAATCTCCATGTCTTCATTAATATTATATCTATATTTAGATAGAGGCGTGAAGGTTATTAATAGATGTTAAGTTTTTTCAAATATAAAATATGCATTCAACTAAATTTTGTTTTTATTATATCTTACCTTTTATTTAATGAAAACATAATTTTATTAACAAATATATTTTTGAACAAAACCTTATAAGTATGAATCTACATCTGCCCTCAAAGAGTAAATTCTTCAACTAAATAATGTAGGTGGGGAAAATTGAAAAAACGGGGTGTGAAAATTATTTTGGGATCTACGTAATTTGTTATAATGTACATGGAACTCGTCACAAGAATATAACGAATTTTATAAAATATAATAAATAATTGTAACTCGACAGTCCTATATGTCAAGTTCCATACAACTTTGTTTCATTTTATATGACGAGTTTTATTTTTTAATATATTTTATAAAACTTGTCACCTCCATTACTAATTTCATATGTACGGTAACAAATAACCTATATCTCAATATAATTCTTAAACACCTCTATTTTCCAACAAAAAAAATCTCACTTACAACATTCTCAATGGTCATCTACCGGTACAACATCAAGCAACCACGAAATCCTTATTTTCCATTTTGTTTCTTCTCTTTTCTCCCCTCTTCTTTCACATATGACTTTCTTTAAACATTTTCTTAAATTTATGTATTTATGTCTAAAGATAGAATTAAAATTAAACTATAACAGAAAAAAATTAGTTTTAAAATATAAATAGTCTTTGAAATTAAATAAATTTTAAATGAATTATAAAAGTAAAGAATCTTAAAGAGTAGTTAAATAAAAAAATAAAATTCAACGCATAATTTTATTTATTTATTTTTTGATGGCACATAGTTTTATTTTAAAACTGAAGGAGTCTTAAAAATAATTAAACCAATAAATTTGAGAGAGACAAGAGTATAATTATAATGATTTAAACAATATTAATAACTTCAAAAATAAAATTATTAATTTAAATTATATTTTTTATTAAGTAAAAAAATAAGAGACATATGAGTAGATCTTTATCTTATAATTATTAATATGTTAAATAATAATTAAATAAAATTTTAAATCTTCTAATTTCATAAGTAATTTCATCCTAGTTGACCTTATTATCTTAATGTCGTTGAAAAATGTGCACAAAAGAAAATATCTTTAAAATCACAAGCATGGCAATGACCAATGACCACGGGTTCAACTACAATATATCACGAATCATGATTATTTTTGCCCTTGGGAAATAAAATAAACAAAATACCTACTACTAATGAAGACCATCTCTTGCACGTTTACATGAAGGAATAATGATAAAATTAGTTCATAATATTTATATAAATGATTATTTTAATTTTAATTTTTTTATTTGAAACATTTTGATCTTATAATATTTCATTTTTTTTATCAAAATAAACATTTATTAGATAGAAATCATTAGTTCACTAACAGTAAATACATGTTGCTAACGTAAAATTTGCATGTGTTTAATTGATGATATGATATATTTCATGTCATTATTTTGATGAGTGACACATATCACATTACCAATTAAGCACATGTAAAAACGATTTTCATTCAACATAGGTTATTTTGAACAAAAACTAAAACTAAAACATTAAGAGCTAAAATGTTCTTAAAAAATAATATGTGTCAAAGTGATTATTTGTGCAAACGTTGAGACTAATTTGATCATTATACCTTTAGGAAATCCCATTAGAAAAGTTTAATAATAAAAACATTCGAAACTTATTAATGATTTTATTTAGAAATATTTAATTTTAAAATTAATTGCATTAAACATTTATAGATTATGGTATTTAATTTTAAAATTAATTGCATTAAACATTTATAGATTATGGTTTAAATTATGAATTGAATCTCAAATTATTTTATTATCTTTAGAATAATAAAATGGGTTATTTGAATTAGTCCAGACTGTACCATCAAATGAGCCTGGATAAAAGATTTCAAAATTTTACCGAAATTAATTCTTTGTATTTATTCAAGAAGGAAGGTGAACTGCGAACAGGCCACCTCCGCTGATTTTGTGAATAAATATATAATGAAAAGCCGATAATCCACCCTCATGCTGTAACTTTGATGAAAATGTTCATGGATTCATTAAACATTCGAAAGCTTAAATTTAATAAAATATCTCATAGACACGGATGATGGAAAAGTACTGTATATGAAACTTGCATAAATCACAAAGGGAATGAAGAAATAAAAAATCCCAGATAATTTAATCAAAGATTACGAAGCCGCTTAAGATTCACTGGAGAAATAACTTTGGTGTTTCCATTGAGAAGTTGTCGAGCAATTATAAGATTGGCAGCCTCACTGGGATGATAAGGATCCCAGAACACATGCTTGTCACGATCATCGCACATACTTGACGTCGGTCCGCACGGGATTATCCCTGCGAATTGGCCTCCATTACCGCAACATGCTTTGCTTGCCGTCGTAAATCCTGCATAAAAAAATAGGGTTTGAGAGAATAATCCGAAAAAAGAGACCGAAAACCGATTCCAGCTGCATGGTATTATACCGTAATTCTTATAATTTGTGATGAGTTCCATCACTAGGTCATACACATTAGCATGAACAAAAACGGCACCGGGGAGTTTTCCGTTCATTTCAGTAAGTAAATCCTTTAAACGCCCATTGTACTGTATTGCCAGCTTGTTGGCTAAATCGACACATTCGTTCTCGTTCAATTGATTGATGGTTTTCTGATACGGAATGCAGCCAATCGGACCGACGTTTCCGACAACAAACTTCCTAGCATCGAGCTGGTGAAGTCTCTGTTGAAACATCGTTTGTTTAGTTGATAAGTGATAATGAAACATTGGTTAATATTAAGGTGGGAGTTGAATGGTGTTCGATGTTCATACAGTTAATTGGTTCCTCAAGTGACTAATCATGTCATCAATGAAACCATCTGGAGATTGAGAAATCCGAGTTCCAACGGAGAGAACCGGGAGAAGATAGTTGTTGAGGAAATCATTTGCTCCGATTGTGATCGAAAAAATCGATTTTTTCGAAATGTACTCTTTGGCCTTCGATGCACCCAACAATGTATCGAACTGTTTCCTTGTGTTTTTGAAGAAATCAATTTGGATATCCAATCCCAGCCTATTAACCTGCAGAAGAAAATGGATTTAATTTGTCTGGAATTGAATAAACTTTTGAAGGATAAAAAAAATATTAATTCTAAAACTAACAAATATTCTTCCAGTTGCATTCATAATCCCCCCTCCTCCTGATGCATAATTTACACCATAAAGTATAGCTTTCCCGGTAGAATTTGGAGCAAGATATGGAACTGCATAATTCGGTATTCCCAATTCTTCTCCTGTTAACATATAATATATGTTAATAAAACGTGACACGAATGAAAATTGAAAAGTAAAAGTGAAAAAGAGGTACATAGAGCTCACCTACAATGTCACCTATGGTTCTACCATTAGTGTATCGGCCGGTAGGGTTTCCTCCTGTTGCTTTAAAATCGATTCCGTTCGGTGGTATATTCGCCCTGGACAATGTCGATAAATAGTTATTATTACCCGCATCGACGAGGGAATCACCGAAGATGAAAGAAGCTCCTAAAGTGCTATTGTTATCATCAGCTGCATTAACCGGATAGTAGTAGCTCAAAGTACTGAACCACAAAAGAACCAAACCAAAACTCCAAGCTTTCACCATAGCCATAGCTACTGGTTTGTTCTGGTTTCGATCTTATGATTCCGAGAACTTAAATGGGTGAGAGTATATAAGTCCAGTTTGATGAAACTTGTGAACTTGTGTATATGGAGTTGGCATTTGGTTTGACCCTTGTTGTAATGCAAAGGACTGTTTGATGTAAGGTAGGTGATCAATATGATGTAAAATTTTCTCAACGTGTGTTATGAACTTTTTGGCCTTTGCTTTTTGTCTACGTAAGGGTGGAACTGATTGGCCATTAGTTATATTATATGGTCAAATATGCAGTTTAGGTTTAAAGTTTTGTTTGGATTTGTGGGCTGAATTAAGAATGTTTTGGTAGAAACTTGGTGATTGTTTGGTAAATTGTTCAGAAATGGGAGTTTTGAGCCATATTTTAAGTTGCTTTTGAAGACCCAAAAGGGCAAAGGCCAATTTGGACTAAATCCACCCTATTAGATAAAGTGACCAATCCCATTTCTAGGCTAAGTTTCCAGTGTTTATTGTATAATGCAGGCCAACCCAATGTGTTATTTTGAGGTGCCTAGGGATTATTAAGTTTCCTATATACTTGAACTTCAATGAGCTCATAAATTTTTAAAAATAAAAAGAATTATTTTAATATAATCTGGTCAACATATTATTTTAAGGTCATTTTGGTAATCAATTTTTTTTTCCAGATTCAACCATAGTATTTAATCCAAATTCAGACGATTATGATTACTATGTCCAAATTTAGAGTGCCTAGAAGCATGTCGGTTTGTTGGACGACATGTTAAAAAATTGTTAATATTTGATGAATGGATGCCTATGTTACTCATACCATGTTAAAATGAGTATGATGCATAATTCCAAAATTTGTGTACTTTATCTTACATAATTTTGCTGATATAATCAGACTAATAAAAGATATGCTTGAAATGAGACACGTTTGGTAATGTGCATGATGTGATTGATTTGTGTGAAATATGACTTAGATATATTGATGAATAAATGATTTGATAATGAAAGTATAGTTATGCAAATATGCTAATACATGTTAAATTGAAATAATTGCATGTCTTTAATAACAATGTTATGGTAGAAGAAGAAAAACATGAGTGATGGTGTTGCTATGTGTGTTTTATTTTGTATGTTGGTTGTTGTTATGATTCATCTGTTTGAATTTATTTATTTTATGTAATATAATATAATAGTTTTTATAGATTTTAAATTTGATTTTGGCGAGGGTTTGTTTTAATGGTTTTCATTTTGTAACAAAGACGGTTGAAATATAAGGAGGGATTAGATGTTTGAAAAAAAATTGAAAATTAAAATTTTTTGAGGTAAATTAGATATAAAATTATTGTTTAAGGACCTAGTTGATGTTTTAACAGCAATTTATGGTTAAAATTAAATATTAATTTTTTTAACATTTTCACGTCATCAATTTAATGGGAACGACAGTTGAATTATCATTTTATTACAAATTGATAAAAGTTAATGCCTAATTTATTACTTTTGAAATTTAAGAGGGAAAATAAAAACTTACTCAAACAGGAGTGACCTTGTGTAGTTTACCCTTATAAATTCTATAAAATGCATTTAATACGCTGTCGTTTTTTGTTAAGTGTTTGTTCTGGACTAGGTGATTGACCGATTTAACAGAATTTTCTTTCTCTTTTCTGTTTCTTCTTCTATCTAATCTCTTTCGTCTACCTTTCCTCCTTTAATTCTTGATCATTTGAAATTCAGCCTGCATCAGAATTGGCTTTTGACTTCGAAATATGGGTTGTTTCTCTCTCGATTGAATCCTTTTTGGCTGAATTTAGGTCTTTCTTTGATCTGAGCAACCCCTTTTGCTTTGAGGCTTAAAGTTTGAAGATTGAACACACTTAGTTGAAACGAAGGATATGGGTTTGTGTTGAAAATAAACTTTTTTGTGGTAAATCTTGAGCTTGTTTTCTTCCTGGGTTTTATCTCAACTTTCTCGGTTTTGATGCATTTTTCACTTTGGAAGCCCATAGCTCATTGTGCTTCTCTGATCTTAGACAAGAAGAACAAGAGAAGGGATGGGTCTGAATCAGATGCTGAAACCAAGCAGAACCCTTCAATTATTCAGAAACTCCATGAAAACAAGCTCAGGGAAGCTCTCGAAGAGGCGCCTGAAGAAGGGTCTTTGTTCAAGTCCTAGGACATTGAACCGATTCCCTAGCCAATCAAGATGAGAGCTTGGGACGATAAAGATCCCTTGCAAGGCTCAATGCTTAGCGTGAATTCTTGCGAGCCACCGCTCTCGCTGCCGAGCGCACATTCGAGAGTGAAGATTCCATCCCTGATGTCCACGAGGCATTCGGTAAGTTCCTCACAATGTACCCAAAGTACCAGTCATCAGAGAAATTTGATCAATTGAGATCGGATGAGTATTCACATTTGTCACCGAAGGTGTGCCTTGATTATTGTGGGTTCGGGCTTTTCTCATATGTTCAAACTTTGCATTACTGGGAGTCCTCTACGTTTAGCTTGTCTGAGATTACTGCAAATTTGAGTAACCATACACTTTATGGTGCTGCTGAGAAAGGCACTGTCGAGTACGATATAAAGAGTAGGATAATGGATTATTTGAATATTCCCGAGCATAGATATGGTCTTGTGTTTACTGTAAGTAGAGGGTCCGCTTTTAAGTTGCTGGCTGATTCTTATCCATTTCAAACGAATAAGAAATTGTTGACGATGTTTGATTACGAGAGTCAGTCGGTGAATTGGATGGTTCAGAGTGCTCGGGAAAAGGGTGCAAAAGTATACAGTTCTTGGTTTAAACGGCCAACTCTTAAACTTTGTTCTGCTGATTTGTGAAAGCGATTTCGAATAAAAAGAGGAGGAAGAAGGATTGTGTTATTGGCCTTTTTGTTTTTCCGGTGCAGTCTAGAGTTACGGGGCATAAGTATTCCTACCAGTGGATGGCATTGGCTCAGCAGAACAATTGGCATGTCTTGCTTGATGCTGCTGGTTCATTGGGTCCAAAAGACATGGATTCACTTGGCATGTCATTGTTTGGTCCGGATTTCATTATCACGTCATTCTATAGAGTGTTTGGATATGATCCAACCGGCTTTGGATGCCTTCTTATAAAGAAATCAGTCATGGGAAGCCTTCAGAACCAGTCTGGATCGACTGGTTCTGGAATGGTGAAGATTACCCCCGACTATCCTCTCTATCAGAGTGATTCTGTGGATGATCTTGACGAGTTGAGTGGGATCACGGACAATGAAGTTGGTGCGAATGGTGATAAGCCCTCAGAAATCCAGAAACGCAGTTGCCTGCCTTTTCTGGTGCCTACACGCCTGCTCAAGTACAGGACGTATTTGAGACGGAAATGGATCAAGATAATAGTACTGACAGAGATGGTGCAAGCACCATATTTGAAGAAACGGAGAGTATTTCTTTCGGAGAAGTGATGAAAAGCCCCATCTTCAGTGTAGACGAGTCTTTGGACAACTCATTCTGGATTGATTTGGGTCAGACTCCGTTGGGGTCTGATAATGCAGGCCAGTGGAATAAACAGAAAATATCCTCCCCTTCGCCACCATTTTGGTTTAGTGGCAGGAAGAACCACAAGCAGCTCTCTTCGAAGCCAACATCAACTATATATAGCAGCTCGATATATGATGATAAAGATCTTACTATCGGGTATGACAATCAGCATGTGTTATCATTTGATTCTGCCATTCGATCAGTTTCGCAGGAACTGGACCGCACAGCGGATATCCCCGGTGAAGCACAATTTGCAGGAACTAGCATTGCCCCACGAAATCATAAGAAGGCTTCAGACGGCTCGCATCTTCTGGAAATCCAGGAAGAGCAGGGTACCAGCAAACCACTGTCTGTAGAGTCTGTATCTAGTTCTTCTGTCTTTCGGTATAATGGCTTAACATCGGAAATTTCCTCCGAGATTAAAGACAGTGCCATAAGAAGAGAAACTGAAGGTGAATTTAGGTTACTGGGGAGTAGGGAAGGAAATAAGTATAATGGAGGTAGATTTTTAGGGTTAGAAGATGAACATCCTAGTAGGGGAAGAAGGGTCTCTTTTAGCATAGAGGATAGTCATCAAGAGCACATAACTCGTATTTTTGGAGCCAGGAGAAGCATCTGGAACCAGCCTTGATAATGAAGAAACCAGTAGTGATGGAGAATATGGTCATGGGCAAGATTGGGACAGGAGGGAACCTGAGATAACTTGTCGGCATCTTGATCAAATTAATATGTTAGGGCTCAATAAAACCAGTATTAGATTACGGCTTTTGATTAATTGGCTTGTAACCTCGTTACTGCATCTCAAGTTACCTAATTCAGATGGAGATGGCAGGGTGAATCTTGTTTACATTTATGGCCCAAAAATAAAGTATGAAAGGGGTGCAGCAGTGGCTTTCAATGTGAGGGATCGAAACCGGGGACTCATTAATCCAGAGATTGTACTGAAGTTGGCTTAAAGGGAAGGTATCTCTCTTGGTATTGGTTTCCTCAATCACGTACGGATACTAGATAGCCCACGACAACGAGCATCTTCGAATTTGGAGGATATAGAGCTGTGCACGTTGAAAAATGGTCAACATAATGGGAAGAGTGGGTTTATTAGAGTTGAAGTCGTTACAGCTTCACTCGGCTTCCTTACTAATTTTGAGGATGTCTATAAGTTGTGGGTCTTTGTGGCAAAGTTCCTTAACCCGGTTTTCATCAGAGAGGGTACACCCAACTGTCACAGAAGAATCCGAGACATAACTTCTGAAATTTAGCAATTCAAAATCACTTGCTAAATAATCCGGGAGTCTGACCGGAAGATTAGGAAGTCCCTGGAGAGGATTTGGAGGTACTAGTATATGCAATCCTTGCTCTTTCGAATGACAATCTTTTTCCCTTCTCCACTATAAATATTTACATATTCGTAGCACCAATAATTAAACTGATTTTGAAGTAAAATTATACTCTTGTCGTCAATTATTTTCTTCTAATAGATAATTAAACCAATAATTGTACATGCATAATTATA